AAACTGAGAGAAAGCAGGTTTAGATCTGATATTTTAAAGAAATTCTTCCCTGTGAAGGTGGGGATGCACTGGCACAGGGTGCCCAGAGCAGCTGGGGCTGTCCCTGGATCCCTGGCAGTGTTCACAGCCAGGCTGGATGGGGCTCTGAGCAAGCTGGGATAGTGGAAGGTGTCCCTGCCCATGGCAGGGGGATGGAACTGGATGATCTTTGAGGTAACTTTCAACCCAAACCATTCTGTGATTCTGTGATCTGTCAAAGTCCTCAGACGGACAATGTAACCCTAGCACATTTCTGTTATTAGCACTTATCCAAGCACATGCCATGTAGAAATATTAAAAAACCCCAACAACTTTATTCTCCAGAGATAGAAGCCACTTCCATTCCCTCATTTTTTAAAGGGGAGGTTGAACTCCAGCCTGCTTCCCATGGTCCTTCCTGTGCTGACAGAAACTGGCAATGGTCTTCAACCACATGCCATAAAAGCATTCAAATACTATTCCCAACCCTGTAACACATTATTGACATAAGATTCCTTTTACATAGATCTAAATGGTCTTTCACCTTAAACTGTAATGATCTCATTGTCACAGAGGTGGGTGAGACACTGCTGCCATCACACCTGGAGCCCAGCACCCAGCTGTTTCCCTCCTCTGAAAGAGTACAGTTCATGGAAAGTGAATGGATTCTTCCTCCATTTTCTGCTTCACAAGAGCTGCAGACTGCTACCCAAGGTAAAAACAAGTTTACTTTTCTGTTCTTGCTTCTGAACACAGGTGCCATCAACCTTTTCATCCACCCTGTAATGTGTCTCTGGCTTCCTGTTCTAGAACCCATGCAGTCCTCAGACTATCACAATCAAAATATTCCTGTCCTGAATCCAGCCCTCCCTAATATTTACATGAGGTAATATACAAGGAGGGGATAATAATGGCATGACTTTACTACTCCTCACCATAAAGTGCAGAAAGCACAAGTACACAAGATCCAGAAATGGTGGGAACAGAGAACCATTTTTGTCACAAGCTGCAGGAGCTGCGTGTCGTGATCCTTCACACTTTGAGCCTGGTAGCAAACTTACCTGACAGTCACAGGGAGGAGATTTCCTTTCAAATTTGTCCTCACATTTTTATTTTTATTTTTATTTATACCAGCTTACCTGGTGTTTGCTCCCAAATTCTCTGGAACTCTTCAAAGCAGGCAGATGTGGAGCACTCACAGCAATCCCATCCCAGGCATCCATACTCTCATAAAATCCCCCCCAAAAAATCCATTATTAATGTTGGAAATAGAAGACAAAACAACACCATGTTGTGGTATATCTGTGTAAAAGTTACTAGAATTAGATGTAATTGTTTGGGATGGAGCCATACGAGACTTGACCAATATTTTGGACTAGAGAAAACAGTGCTAGGGATATTTACAGCTCTTTAAATAAACAGATCTCTAAATATGCTTAACAAATGAGGTTAAGATGTGATCAAGGACAAGACTTTTAACAGTAAAGTTTCAGTTTCAGTACACTCCACAATCCTGAGGCTAAGATTTCTTTGTCATCACTCAGCAAGAGATTGCAATTTTTTCCTCCTAATTCTTTTCCTCTCTTTTCTCCCTCCTCTCTTAAGGTCAAGCAAACACTTCTCCAAAGGTTGTTCATTCCATTAAATTCCTAACAGCAACCATTGGCTGCCTGTTCTTTGTGCCTATACCTGCCAACACATTTTATGACAAGGAAGACGGCAACTCCACTCAGTTATCCCTACAGATCCTCCCAGCTGATGGCTCTCCATGGGGAGCTGAGAGCTGGCTGCAGTTTAACACCTCCCAGCAGGCCATGCACGGCTATCCCCTAGAGATGGACTTCCAGCATTCCCCACAGGAGTTTGTGCTGTCTGCCACAGATTCCCGCGCCCTGACAGCCCGGCAATCCTTCATCATTGAGCTCCTGAAGCCCCCCCAGCCACCCTGCCACCATTTTACCGTGCGGACCAAGAACAGCTTCTCCTCCTTCCTGAGGGAGAGGAAAAGGGTGGCTTTGTTCCTGGAGAAGCTCTCCTCCTTCCTGAACTCCAGCAGCCCCAAAGACATGGTGCTGACAGCTCTGCAGCCCGGCTCCACACTCATCTCCTGGTACAACAGCTTGCTGTGTGCAAGCGCCAACGCCTCTTCCAGCTGGTGCAGGAAAGGCGAAATCCAGCAGGCCCTGGAGAAACTGAGGATGCCAGCTGGCTCTGTGAGCCCACAGTTTGTCCAAGCAATGCTGCCAGAGTACAGAATCGATGTGACCTCCAGCATTTCCTACAGTGAGGACTGCCCAGCCAGCACCCAGCCGTTCCCTGGGCCTTGCAGCAGCACCGGGCCGGCGCTCCGTGCTGAGAATGACTCCTCGGTGAGGAGCAGCTGCCGTGCCCTCCTGAGCAGTGTGTGCGCCACTGCTGGCCTGCTGCTGCTGGCAGGAGTGCTCTGCTGGCTTTGCAGGTGTCCCAGGAGGATTCCTGGAGCTCAGCCTGTGATGGGTGAGACAAACTCCCAGCTGAGCCCCGCTGATGTGGAACTGGACACCCTGAGACCTCACAAAGCCCCCGTGCACGAGTGCAGGGCTGCACTTCCACCTCCATTGTGGATCCCACCTTCAGGAACACTTCCCTCCCACGGGCAGCATCCCAGGCCCATCCCTCACATCACACCACCCTTCCAGCCACCAAAATACCAACTCCCTCCCCTCTATCCAGAGGCCCTGACCACCCACCATGGCCAGGGCAACATCCAGAGGCTTAAGTTTTAAAAACTTTTAAATGGTATTAAGAGCAAATCTACAAAAAGACAAATTGCATTACAAGGTGCTATCCTCAACACCCAGAAAAAGCAACATAAACAGGCAGTTAGTGATTTTCACCATGTTTCAATTTAGACTAGAATATATTTGACCCACACCTCACAAAGAGGCAGTGGCAAAAGCAGAACCCAAGTGAAATGGGCAAAGGTTGTAATTCTACCTCTTCATCATCTACCTTGATGAAGAGGTAGAATTACAACCCTGCAAAAGTCAGAACAAGAAAATACACACCAAGCTGATGCTGGTGGGAATGAGGGTCACAGTCAGTGCTGGGCAAATCTCACGGCATTATGTCTTCTGACTCATAAATACACATTTTATATAGAAGAGGCAGAACTGTCACAGAAGGATCACCAAAAACCATTATGGTTCCATTGAAAGTCAGAGGTGCTACAGCCCTGGAGTCTAGGCCATCTTGGAATTTTAGTTTTAAAAAATGCCTGACATTGTCATTTGAATCCTCCAAAACTTTTTAAAGTGTTTCTATAAATACACCACATGTAGCATTTCTAAAGGCAATAGTAGCTACTGAACTCCTCCTGTTAGGTAATTTGGTGCAATGTATCTTTAAAAATATATTTTAAAGTTCCAGTCTTGCCTTCTTTACAGTAAAACTGTCTCTTGTCTGCTTGCGCCTGGGACAGTTCTAGCAGAGAACTCCTGAAGTTCTGCAAAAGAATTTATAAGGACTTTTAAACATTTTTAAATCCTTCCAGTTGAATAGATTATCGTATACAAAATGCAATCCACAATTTAATTATGAACTGCATTTTGCAATCACAAATTACAGATCAAGCTACTTGACCTGTAACTTCCAATTTTAATCTGTAAACTCTTTTTAGAGCTGACAAAACCTTTCCTAAACCTGAAGGCAGTGAGCAAAACAGGAGGAAAGCAGCACCAGTGCCACTATGGAGGGCAGGAGAGGAATGTGGAATTGCCCTTTCCAGAAGTGCAAAGATCATCCCTTGCCATCTCCTGAGTCCCTGTGAGACTCTTCAGGTACATGAAATACAGACCCAGTCACCAGCCCTGCTCATTTAATCACCAACCAGTCTGACCTGGCAGATGCTCCAAATGAGGAGAATGGAGTTAGTAAACAAGCCAAACAAATACACATTTTAATAGCAGGTGCTATCAAATTTCTCTTTCTCTAATGAACTATTTAATTCCTGTGCATATTTGCAAGGAGTGCAGTTGAATATTAATGGCACATGAGGAGATGCAACACAATTCCCAAGGCACAGGATGAGTTTTTCAGCTCTAACTCTCCAGCCTAGCAAATTGCAGAGCTGACATGTACATGCTCCCCAGCTTCCAGACTTGAACATTCCTCTAGGAAACAAGATATGCAGTAAAATCTCATTAAAATAACCCAGAAAGTTATGAGAAGCAATAATTTTGTGGCAGTTTTCTCCATCAGAACATTTCAGCTAGGATATCAAGAGATGTGGTGATGCAGGACATTCTGTTCTCAACGAAGTAGTAAAAATAAAAGCAATAGGTCTTCACACTAGATCTCCAAGAGTTACATGTTGCTTCTGTAAAAGCTACAAATATTTTACCATATGATAGAAAATATTACCATGCAAGTACTATTTAATCACTCTGTAAAAATGGTTCTAAAATCATTTAACAGAAAATACACCTGCATCAGAGTGGCTGAAAAATCACCTTGAAGTTATTCATGGTACTTCAGCAAAGCTGAAGAAAGGATTCAATCACAAATGTTCAGTGAAGAATATTTGTGTTCAGAGCTATACATCACAAACTATGGTATTTAAAGCTGCAGGTGAATATAAAAATACTGATTTAGTTTTAGAAAATCTCAAAGATGTGTCTCAAACCAACTATAAGATATCCAATCTGTGAGCCCTTCAGTTGCTTACAAAGCCAGATGCAGACCAGAGGAAGGTTGGCACACTTGGAGAGCTCAGGAATTCATCTTTCCTTAGCCCATGTGGAAGACAACCCAAAACCTGGCAAGGGATCAGACCACAGACATTGGATGAGTTTTCTCAGTTCAGAATTCTACTCCTCAGTGCAAGAGGCTCTACTCAAAGACACTGAAGACAGATCAGCTACCTTTTCATTCACAGCCATTCCAACTCATGCCCTCAGACATGCAACCACAAGTATCTTACAGAACACACTTCATCAATAATATAATTATTAGCAAAAAATTTTATTGTACTTTTGCTTACAAAGCCTTAACTCCAACACAACAACTTGAAAGGCTTTGCTTTCTAAAGACCATTTCCATTCCATTTTTAAAAGTCTTTAAACCAACAATTTCTATTTCTGTAAAACCCCTCACCCTCCCACCCCTCAGATGAAAACCAAGACTGGCACTCTCTCAGCTCAGTGTCTGGGTGTGTGGTCTTTTCCATAGCTATGAACTCCTGAGGAATCCTCATATAAATAAAAGATGTTCATGGACCAAAATTAAGGATGTTATCAGCTTACTGTAAATTACTTCCATTTTTCTTTTTTTTTAAGACAGTCATCACTGATTTTGAAATAGTATCCAATACTTCTGGGCAAGGACTTTAAGGTGACTAACATTTTTGATTACTTGATTTACTCCATGGCAGCAGAGGTTTTCTTCATCCTAAAGCACGACTGGAAAACGCTTCAGGACAGCTCCTATTTGCACACAGCTGGTTTAACGTGATACGCAGGTTTCATACTTCATAGCAAAAATAGGTCTAGAAAAATGTAAAAACCAATCAAACCACAGCTATACAATTGTAATGAAACAGTACCAAGAGCAATTCCAGCATTAAATAGTTTTGCATTTTGGCCAGGTTTTGTCCCAAGAAACAGAATTAATTCTCACTGCCGGCCTGCTTTTCCATTTTCTGTTGTTTCCATTCTGAAAGGCAAGAAAACAAGTGGTAAGGCTTGTTACTGGAAGAAAAATCAACAGTTAAAAAAAATCAGATTTAAATGCCTTCATAAATATATTTTACTTCACTTACTGTCCTGTCTCTCCCTACCTCAAATTTATGCAATCTTATCTCCTCTTAATACTTCTTTAAGCAGCAGTCAGTACATAAAGGAAAAAAGCTGTGAAAAACCATCCACTATCAACCTCACCAAAATAGAAAATATTCCTGTGACTGGAGAATCCATTTTGAAAACTTGAGCTTTGGCCATTTTTTCCAAGGACTTCATTTTCACCCCTCTTACACTGATCATTGTCTACCATCATCTGATTTCCTTCAGAGGAGGCTGGTTTGGTTTTCCAGTATTTTTTTGTAGAACATGGACTACTTCATTACAGCACAGCCTAAGAGTCAACCACTTTATTACCACCAATATTTCTGTATCAGCTATTCCTTTGGAAGCTAAAGCAAGCAGAAAGTCTCAGCTACTGTTTAAACCCCTGCAGTTTAACAAGAGTTTTGCTGCAGGGGTAATAGGAGTTTAGTAAGTTTTGCTGAGGCCCAGGGAAGCCCAGCTCTCAGCAGTCGGTCTCACTCAGCACAGATGCAAACAGAAAACCAAACACTGCTGTGGTTCTCCATCAATGCTGAGAAGCAAAGAAATGTACTCAGATATTCTAATAATCAAAGGAGTATCTAATGTTGTAAACTCCACACTGACTGCTACCAAGATATGGGTAGTGATGCATTGCCGGATACAAACCCATTTTCTTCTTTCAGATGTTGATACAGCTCAGCTTTGTTGTTGACAGAGTTCAACCGGCCAATAAATTCCTGGTGTTTCCTAGAGTTGGCAGTATTAATTCTGTTGCTCCATATAGACAGCAAGGACATTGGCCCTAAAATTGTAAGCAAAAAGAGTCTAAGTGATTAAAATTTTGAATTAACATTACATCATTATAACACCTTAAATGAAATTACAGATTATGGTAATACAACACATTAAAACAGTGAATATTAAACAAACTTACAGTAGTTGCTAGATAAATAGAAAATATGCAAAGTGATAATGGCTGAGGAGCTGCTGCACGTGAGATGGACTCTGCTTTAAATGCAGAATCTCAGCATCAGCTCAGCCACTGTGACAGAAAATAATTCACATCAAGGAAGAGTGAGAACTGTCCATTCTGATAACTGCACTACTTAGGCAAGTTGATTATTTATTAGCAGGAGACAGTGACTTCTGATACCTGTCCTCAAACAGCATTTCCCACATACAGGTGGTCAGACAGCACCAGCAGGAACTTAGCCACCCCCCTGTCAACCCAAGAATTGACCAGCAGACCCACACAGTGTCTCAGTATCTCCCTTTTTACACAAACCTGGTGAGGTTAACATGTTTTCCAAGAATTTCTCAACATTCAGCATTCAATTAAACATGATCTTCACTGACTTAGCTTTAACTCCAATATGATTCACCTCATTACTTTAGATTGATGCAACAACATCTACCTTTAAAAAAATAATCTGTTGCAATTGTTCTGGTTTACCTTTTGCCTTTTCAACTGTGGGCATCTCATCCATTGTAATGAGAGGTTTTTTGTTGGGGGGCTCAGGAGAATCAGGGGAGTCTTTGATAACTTCAGCTTCTGCCAGTTCTTCTTTCTCCCGATCCAAAAGACCTTTTAACCTTTTCCAGAGAGAGGGAAAAGGGTGAGGAAAAATATGCTTGAGCAGGACATAATTCTTGATAGCTTTCTGTACTCCTCAAAATTATACAGGACCTGTGCCATAAGAAATTTTCTTTTGACCCCTCGGAGTGGGTGACAAACAATAGGGAATTGCAGCCAAATAATCCTCTGTATAAAACATTACATATAGGAACGGTTCTTAATACACAGTTTCATTTTAGTTGTTGAGACAATTCATGTTTGAATTTTGAAGGAAAGACTAAATTAAAATAAATACCTAGAGAAATACAATACTACTTCCTATTATCTTTTCTAGATGAATTCAGACCCATTCACACCAAACCCCTTTTATCTCAGTCCCCATTTCTGTTCCACGTGTGAAAGTAAAGTTGTAGGAATGATCATTCACAGGAAGGCATGGAATGTCATCAGCTTGGTGACAGCAGGGTAGATGAAAAGGCCCTCCCATCCTAAATGATCCCTGCATGCACAGAACACATGCAAATTAAGCTTATTACCATGAGTTTTTTGGATGTCTGTAGAAAGTCGCTTCAAAGAAGGAATACAGAACAGACTGACAAGTGCTTGCCACTTAGACAAGCTACAGTAACAACATGAATTACAGACAGGAGGTAAATGGACTACAATCCTGATGCTCAGCTGAAGAGAAGAGCCAAATCAAGCTGGGTTGTTTAATCAACCTGAACACTGAACTATCTACAGCTTGATAAAAGAAAGCAACTGCTTGTGCCACATTTTCAGCCATGCTTTAGGTTTCCATAAAGCAGTTTAATATCAAAAAGGTGGTGGAGTTATGACAGAATCCAACAGCAGGAACTCCTCAAGACACAACACTTGGCTAAGAGGTGAGCTAAGAACAACAGTTATGCTACAGTTTGATTTCACTTTAGATACGTACCTCTCTGAATCCTGCCATGGCTTATCTGATTCATAGTCTTTGCCCAGCTTCTCTGATTTGTCCTCTTTGTCTTCTCTCTTCCTGCCCCGTTTCTTGCGCTCCTCCTCCTCGGGGGGTTTGCTCCTGCAGGCCATGAGGCACTCCAGGACGCGCTGGTGTTTGTCAGAGTTGTTGATGTGCGCTCGCACCAGGGTCTCCAGCTCGTTCCACATGATGCGGTACTGCTCATCCCTGAGGGCCAGGAAACACCACACTGAGGGTCACCAACACCATTCAGCCACTGACTGGATGAATGCAGGCCTCAACAAACAACACAGAACCCCCAGACCAAAAATAACTCCCCAGAGATTGTCTGTCCTCCTGCAGTGCAGGTTTCTCCACCTGGGATGACTCCATGCTTGAACCACATTAACATTTCCCAGTTAACGCCCAGAGGGAAGTTTAAATTGAAATGGATTATGTCCATTGAAATCATATTGTTGGCACTTGTGAAACCTCTCAGGTGCTTGCTAACAATGCAATGTCAGAGGGCCACTCATGCACTGACATGCAAATTAATTATTACATTATTTAGGTTAAAAAAAATGAAGGAAGAATTGCACCACACTATTGTCAACAACTCCCAGTCATGTAGGCAAATCAGGAGCTGACTTTCTTTTCAATCCATTCTTGGAAATACAAGGAACACATCCCAGTAATTGAGGGATCAGAATATTCCATGCTTATTTCAATGAGGTATCCCATATATGAAATAACTGTTTCATAAGAATTCAAATATATCCCAATTTTAATGCACCATTCATTTATAATATACTTAAATTTTCCTTTTTATTAATTTGAAATTATTCCACTTTATCTGTCCATATTGTATCAACTTCTTAACTTTGCTAATAACTTTGATTTCATATTTTTTAACATATTTAAATTCTTAGATAATAAAGTGGTAGCATTTTTTCTCTAATATACAGCACTATCAGTGCTGTTATAGCCCCTAAATGATACAGGTGATACACACAGCATTTGGGATGTGCAATACAGTGTTTTGTTCACTATGTATTACTTTTAGCTATATTTTAAAAATCTGGTATGAAAACATTGTCAACAGAGTATTTCTGAGAAATAGTCCAGAATCAACAAAGAGAGATGTGCACATAACCTTTTTGGCCCCTTTCCTCTGGTACCAACTGTTGAAATTGGCAGTGGATCGTTCTTCCTCTCCATGTCTACCAAATTGTATATTGTTTTTTGACAATTCAGCACATCCTCATCAGTCATTGTTTCCTTTACAATCACACTGGCTAATGGCACTACCTGCAGAAATAAACAACAAGAAAATGCGTGTGTGTCACAGGAGAGCAATAGGGATTAAAAAATTAAAGGTAATGAAACAACACACAACAAAACTCCACCCTCTTATCCTCAGTTTAGTACTAATTCTAAGTGTAAGTGGGTGCTTTCTTTACCCAGCAGAACTGGAGCTGTCAGGTTCAAATCACTTTATTTAAATACCATTCCAACAATCTATTGCATTAAATACAGAATTAGTTCAGGAAAAATAAAGCTGAATTAAACTGATTATACAGCAAGGGATTTATCACCCCATAGAGTTGGTATTTCATCAAGTGACAAGGGGAAACTTAATCTAGGAACAGAACAAAAATGTACACAGCCCAGGTTACTTACAGCTTGCATGTTGAAGATGGTGGTCTGAGAAATAATCATAGGCCAGTAACGAGTATGTTTCTCTAACTGATCTTTTGCACGTTCCAATGGAATTTCAAGACTTCCATCCATCTTATATCTGGGCTCTAGAAAAGGAGTTAATCGGTTTTCCCTCATAAATTCACCAAAATCCTAATGATAACCAAACAAGATACAATTAGGCATTTCTCTAACAAAGTAACTTTCAGTGAAGGGGCTAAACAGCTTAGCCTTGCTTATCACTTTGTACCATCCCACTGCCACATCCAATCCTACCAACCACAGCCCTGTCTCTAACTCTCATGCATTAACCAGGGGGAACACAAAAACAGGGGCACAGAAATATGGGGTAAAGATCAATGTATGGATTTTGACAAGGAGGACTTCAGATTTGCAAGGTATTTCACGTATGGGAGTTATATCTTTCCAGAAGGAACTTCTGCTTATTTACAAAAGATATTAAGGATGTATTGAAAAAAATAAAGGATAAACAAAAGGCATGTCAGCTGATTGTCTGATATCAGGGTTCAAAGCTGTCAACTTCATCTTTTTTATTTACTGAACAAACACTCAAATGCAATCTGTCCTTTGACAATAAGCACACGATATAGTCCTATGTGTATCCAACCCACAGAAGAATTTTGCCAAGAAAAATGTTTTTCTAGAACCAGAACAAACTTTAAACACTCCTAGTGCATTAAGGAGGCATTCCTTGACACACAAAGTATTTTATGAAGCAGGCATAGCAATCAACAAATGTAGTATTTTTTACCAAATACCTATCAAGGTATTTATTACAAAGGAAGTTTGACCATGCAACCCACTCCAACATTTCCTTCCCACACCTAGTGCCGTGCATCTGTTGTCATGTGAGAGAAGCAGCAGTGTAGGACAGAAAGACCCTTACTGTGATCCTGTAGTCAGTGACCCTCCCACCGCAGCCCTCGCTAATCGAGGGGGGATCTTCCAGGATTGAGCGGGAGCTGCTCAACACGTGCAAGAAAATCTCTCCCCCGTGGCTGCTGAGCATGTGGCTGATGACTTTTGAGCCAGACTTGCGTGGCTGCTCCAACAACACTGAGCGACCTGGTGGAGGGAGATCAGTTTCATTCACTCATTCCTGGGTGCTGCAATTTTCAATTTTGAGCTGCATAAATACAGGAAGAATCTGAACCCACCAAGCTGGTGTTTTCACCCAGCTTGAACAACCAACTTCCATCTCCTCATTTCTTGACACAGAGCAGGGTATATGCACCCTAAAATTTTACAAAGCAACACCAAAAGGCCTCTCCTAGACCAACCAATAATTTCTTCTATTGGATATTATTCTTAGGAAAAAATACATATTCATAAGGCATTCAAATGGCCCTGCTGCAGAACCACTCTCATTAAAAGCAACTTTCAAAAAGTAATAAAATAACCTCTTGAGTATAAAGGTATCAGCTGATACCACTTGCTAATGCTTAAAATGGATACTGTTCTTCAGACAGAGAAATAAAATTGCATTTGTCTTATTTTCAGTAGAATACACCAAGCATTAAAGGGTGCATTCTCCAAATAAGTTTCTTTTTGTCAGGAAGCAAAAATCAGAAGAGTGAGCTTACCTGAAATATGCTATTAATTTTGGTTCTAACCATTTTTATTAATCAAAGGACAATTTCACTACACAATCTCTAGAGAAAAATACACTAAGATATAGTGTTTAATAAAACCACTGCATGTTTAGACAATCAAATGACTTGACTGAAGGAAACATTCTGTTAAAAGGATGTTTGTTAATGCCATTTTGCTTGCAAACACACAAACCTCCATTTCAATACTTGTTGTTTCTTTATATATTTCCTCCCATCTTTAAGATTCAAAATACATTTGCCTTTGAGGATATTTAAAAACTTTCTTCTCTTATTTATAGGACATTTTAAAATAAATGTAGTATTTTTACAGCATATACACATTACTGCTACACCAATCAAAATGTGCCACATGCTCCATTTACAAAACTGAAAATTATAACATTGAATAATTAGCCAAGGACACAAATTTACCATTAAGGAGAAAGTTTGTAAGGCATGAAGAAGGTCTGCTATTTACATCTACTGGTGAAATTCTGTATGCTCCGGTGCAATAGTGCAGTTCTGAAAAATAAAGGAGTAGAAAAGTGGAATGTAATTCCAGAGACAGAAAAAAAAATTCCACAAAATAAAAGACTGTAAGAGGAGGAGGCTAGTCCACAATGAGCAGAACTAAAAAGTCTAGCTGCCTCTCAGTCTGAAAGTGCCCACTGGAAGGATTCCCAAGAATCCACAGCTCTGAGAATCTCATACATTCCCAAGCCCTGTTTGCAGCAGAAACCCCAATTCTTTACTCCTGAATCACTGCACTGATCAGTCAGTCTGCTCTTATTTCTCTTACCTCTATTTCTGGCCTGCTGGCTCAATGAGACAACATAAATTGCTAATAGTTGACAGGGTGCATGAGCTGCACAGCCACCTCAGATCTGCCCTGGCTTTCTCTCCTGTACTCAGATTTGTACAAGTTACCAACCAGGTCTGGAAGGTTCCATGGCACCTACCCACGCTGTTGGTTCGAGGAGTGCACCATTTCAGTGTCACAGTTTCTTTAAATGTGCCTTCTCTGCTATTGCCCCCCACGTGGTTATCACCTGCAGAGAAAGGCAGAAAGTGGGGGGATCAACCAGAGTTTATTACAGAAAAACAACAAAATGTAACATGAACATATACACAAAGCAATCTAAATTTAAAATTAAGATACCTAACCTTTTGATTTGACAATCAGAAAGTTCTACATAAGTTTAGTTCTGTGAGTAGCAGGCAATTTTTTCCTGCTAAAATGCTTGGGACTTTAAGACAATATCTTTATCAAAATTTTCCACACAGAAATCATAACTCTGAAATACTAGAGCTGACTGTATTTATGTATTAATAATAATGTATTGTATTAATTTATGTATTAATACAATACATATTGTATTCCCAAAGTCAATTAAACCAATCTAAAGGTACATTTGACAAGTTTAGTTTTTTGGGGAAAGAAATATTTGGTCTCATCGCTATGTCAGATTCAGCCTGAATTCTCTCAATGTCTTCTACTGACCACAAACGCTTTATTATTAAAATATTGGAAATACTTTATTATTAAAATTAACTGCATCAATTTTAGAAATTCTCTCAGAATATCTGAAGGCCAAACTTATTTAACCTGAAAATTCCTTGACTTCTCAGAGAAATAAGACCAGTGTAACTAAATTCCCACTTTCCTAGCATCAGAGCTATTACAGTTGAAATATGTATTTAGAAACAAATGAAAGAACCCAAAATTTACAGGATCTAAGAACAGACTTTTTCCTCTCAAAGTTCTGATGGGAAAAATGTGAAAAGGAAATGCAGTCAGAGTGCTTTTGTATTTTCCTAGGAGACGTAATTCCTTGAGCCTACAGGTTTTACAAAACTGCTTCTGAGCCCTGGCAATAAAAGCTTTAAGATTTCAACATCATAACACAGTTCAGGTGAGGCTGAGGTCATTACTGCAACACCCTCTGCTTTTCATCCATCTTTAGTCATCCACTCCCCTAAAATTTGGAGCACAGCACTTGGAGATGACAAAGGAGTTACCTCCTCTTCCTCAAAGCAACGGGACAAAGAGCACAAACTCCCCAAAATGGATACTTATGGATCATATGACATTTAATTCCACTAATACAGAAGTTATAAGCTGATTTTTAACAAAGTTTTACATCAGGCAGTTTCCTCAACAAAATAATTCTGCAAAAGGCTAAGTGTTGTGCTTTTCTAACTTTGGTTGAGCTATTAAAAATTCAGAGGTGATAGCAATTCCAAATTTACAAAAAAAAAAAGATAGGTATTTCAAATACAACAAAAAAGCTCAACAGCCAAACAAATGTTGTTTTTTCCAAAGCAATTATTGCCATAAACAGGCCTGTGGAATGTAAGTGGTGCTAATTATTATTACTTAACAAAGTTCAATTGTGCAAGGCATAATTTTGCACAAATATCCACAAGAGGGACTTCCTTTTGTAAAATCTCCCTGCATTTCTGGTCTCTCACCTACTTTTTGTATCTCAGTAAGAAACTGACATGCCCTTCAAATCTCACAGCAATTTCCTGAACAAATGTGAATTTGGCCTGTTTTCTCATTGCTGTATTAAAATATGTCAATAATGAGTAAAACTCTAATGCCAACATTACAAATTAAGTTTCCTGGGTTACAAGGAGTAACTGAAATATTTACTATTTGAGCCTGAAAATTACATGGATTTGAAGGTCTCAATCTTCCTTTGTGAATACTCCCAAAGAGGTTGATCAAAAGCCACCTTCAGGGGGCCATTCCTACTTACCACTCTTTAAAAAATCCACATGTGCCTCTTTGTGATGAAGCAGCTCCACATCATAGTTGGCTGATGTGTTAGCATGTTGTTCTTCCTTCAAAAGAGAAAGGTGGACATAAACAGAATTACTTTAGCTAGAGGTCACCATTTTCATAAATGAATGATTCTACATTTGTCTTTCAGTCTGGAAGAAAACAAAAAATCTCCAAGTGCCTCAGACAACAATAGGATTGCAATGCTGAGGGAACTTTGCTTTCTGAGCAGTTCAAAGATGCAGCCAATTACTTTTCCTTTTATTTACTTTTTTGAAACCCTATTCTTCTTTACACAAGCCTCATGTCACCATGCAGAGCATCACATACCAGTAAAAACTAGGCATGACTACTTCACTAAATTAGTGAAGTTAAGGAAGCCTACAAAATGTTACATAATCAGCAGTTACAACTTACTGAGCAGCAACAAAGACTCACTGCAGGGTAGAGTGACAATTACTTTTCAAAACCAAAAATAAAGAATCCAAACCAAAACCCACACTTTGAACTTACTTTTTCTTAAGCTTATGAGAAGAAGTGCACTTGCAGCTGCAAGTTTATAACTAAAAAAATTGATTTTTGTAAAGAGGACACTGCATCTTCAAACAGCTGCAGAAGATCAGCAAAAACAGAACAGTAACTCTGCTAATTTACTCCAAGTTTAAAAAGAAAAACAATTTAAAAAAAAAGAAAAAACCACAGAGAACCCAACATAGTCTATTACTATAAGGACAAAGGCAGAAGGGAGAGGCACAGCAGCAGCACACAGGTCAGAAAGTTACAGACAAGGTATTTGCAAACTGAAGTCACATTTATGTCATGACCCATGTCAAACTCTCATAAAACCTGAAAATTATTTTGATATCATGTTTTAACTCATAAAATCCATGCAATATTGCTAGATTTCAAATATGCAATGATTGACTGTGTTACAAGTTAATGAATTTTTTCAATCATGAAGGTTACCTGCCCATGGCTCATTTTCTGTTTGAATACTGACATTTCTGTCTCAATTGTCTCTTGCTGCCTGATCAGAAAATTACTGTCAACTTAACACCTGATATTCTAAACTGATTTCCCTCCAAGTAGCAAAAAAACTTAAAATATGGACATAACTTCTACCAAAAGACACTTAATTGAATCTCTTTCTTAACTAGATATATCCTGTCTTTATTTCATGTTTATGGATTTTCAGAGTAGAAAACCCACTGGAAAATCCTTCGTGAAAAAGCAGCTTTTAGTTACAAACACCTTTATGTTGGGTGGGCATGATAATGAAACAGAGGAAAAAGAGACTCACTATGCCACTATAATGCACAAGGGTCAAGAGTATCTAAACACAACTAGAAAAAAGACAAAAGAATCACAGACAAATTGATCTGAGGTAAACAAGACTGCATTTATATAAAGTAATACAAACAGAACTGAAATAACACTTGTATTGCTACATCAAAAATTGAGATTTGGCAATACAATATTTTGTTCTGTGATCCTTCTTTACTTTTTTTCCCCCTACTTCATTTTTACTAACCTGATCACAGACATTGAATGTGGGCTAATAAAAGAAAAAAAAACAAAACAGAAAATATGATATGGAGAGAAAAACAATGTAAAAATTCAATTAAAATAAACAACAAAAGTTTTCAAACAAATTTAGAAGTGATGCATCTGGTTAACACAGAGCTGCAGACACAGTATTACCTTCATAGGGATGTTAGTTATTGTGGTTGAAGCCAGATCAAAGTGTTGCTGCACTAAAAGATTCAGTTTTGTAGCCAGGTGCCTCCCTGCACGGACACTGTGCACTTCACTGGTTAGAACAGGGGACAGCTGAAATGAATTGATACACAGAACTCATAGTTTAGGTTGTGATATCATTCAACAGTACAGTTTGTTCAACTCTCAAATAAGCATTTGTACTGCTAAAGCTACCACTCAGAAATCCACACCAGAGGAAACTACTGAGCAAGAAGCAAAACCTATTTTCATTCTGAAGTTTGAGCTTATGCCAACTGCTACAGATGCAGTTCTTAAAAATAGTTTAAAAAATTAGAAGTGTGCTAAAAATTGAGTCACTAACTGTTGATAGGAAAAATTAGCATCACAACATGGGGAATAAATCTTAACAGCCGCTCTAGGCCTGGTTTTACATTCTTTCACCTGCTGAGTAAAGTAGCAAAGTAATTTTTAGATGTCTACCTGTAAGTGCATTGTACATACACAAGGCAAATAAACACAAGCTAGGGGATGTATTTGATTTTTCCTTAGCCAAAAAGAACATTGGATTGGGGCTCAAAACCCCATTTAAAAATTCATTTTAAAATAAATTTTAAAAACCACACAACAAAAACTACAACAATCCTCCAAAACCAAGAACCCCAAACATCAACAAAAAAACCAGGACCCAGACCCAGACCCAGAGAGAGAAGTAGTCAATTTGCTATCTTCTATTCACAATTTTTAGCACAACCACAGCAGAGTTCTGTAGAAATGAATCACAGGAATGTACCTCCTCATAGTCCTTTTCATATATTAAATACTATGCAGCACTACATGCTTTTCATGTTAAGTCATTTTTCTGGGTTTTTTTCTTACAGACAGCACATTAATGCAGAGCAGACTGTTGAATAGCAGAATATATTACAGATTTTTTTTAATGTACTTGGTTTCAAACAACCACCACATGTGCTTTTGCTACTGAACAACTGAGAATAATTTGCACTATTTTCAGTCTGACATGGTTCAATCTGGGATAAGCTTTCTCATTTTCAGCTCCTCACCTCTTTTTTAGGACGATCTGAAACAAGGCTGTCTTCACCAACTGGGTACGTGTGGATTAACACCAGTTCACATTTCTGAATCTGCATTAGACTTAAAAATAAAATCATTTTGCTTAGCCTACGGCATGGCAGATTATCTCCTAAAATTAAATTAATTCTGATATCTAGAACACAGAATCAAAACGTATGTTAGTAACATGTTGTTTATGAAAGCATGCTGCAGGAACTAGGTTACAGATACGAATTTCAAAAGCACAGAGTTCAAAATAAGTTCTGATCAGAATAAAAATAAAAGCCTGACACTTCTTGCTCCTCAGATGATACAGCGCCGTGCTTCTTTTTTGGACACATCAATGGAGTAAGTCCTTAACTGGTGCAATCTGTTCAGCTTTATTCAGCTGAATATTGACACTACAGAGGATTTGTGTCTCCAAGTGTAGGTAAGAATGAGGGGACTCCAGGGAACATGAGAATAACTATCCAAACAGCACAGAGAGCTGGGACATGTAATGGGATATATGCTAATCCTGATGTGGCTGGAAGTTTGGAGTGATACAAACATTGTACCACATGAAACATCCCTGTCTTTCCAATGGATTTTACAGCTAATTCCTTGGGCAGGATCCTTTATAAATCCATGCAACTGCAGCAGGAAAAAAACAGGAGAGTGCTGCTTCTGCTCTTGAAGTGCCTGAGGAGTAACCAGGAATAGGATCTCAACCCACAACAACTTTACAAGATAACACAGTGCTGTAGACAAACACTTCAGTTTCATTAGACAAAACATACATGAAGAAAGACTTCTCAGAAGAGATGCACTCTGTATTTTAAGATTCCTTTATCTCAAGGGAAGTTCCAGGCAATACAGTCATTTAGAAACTAAAACTAGTTTCAAAGAAGTTAGCTGTTTTAGTCAAAGGAAGGTGAACATGAAAGTAACACAGTATAATCAAGAAAAACTGCTCCAGATAAATTAGTGATTAAAAACACAAAGTGTAAAAAGTGTAAAAAGGCACAACTATGCATCTCATTTTGCAGCAGATGTAGAAGGTAACAAGCTAAAGAAATCCTGTCCTATGAAGGATGATACTGGAAAGAAAATGATCATACACCAGCTCTAAGGTAACAATATCACGATTTACCACCTTCTACTTCACATTCATTCAAATGGTTCATTATAGTGAGTTTTGTGACAGAAATACATCCGTATTTCCTAGAGGACACAAGAAACTGAAAGAAGCATACTCACTGGTCAGAGTTAGCTGCAAGCTTGTTGTGCTCATGAATGGTCTCCTGAACACAATCCTCCAGCATCCGAACATGGCTGTCACTACAAAGAAAAGTGGATTTCGTTAAGGATGCACCATCCGTCAGAACCCCATAACAAAACCTCTGGTAAGGTGAGAAGTGCTCTGAGAAGGATCTGCCTGCAGCCGTGGTGGCAATGCCAGGAGCCAGCAGAGCCCACAGTGCCCACCTCTTGGCGTTGGTGATGCAGATGATCCGGCCGCGGTTGCCGACGCGCTCGGCGTTCTCCATGAGCATGGTGCGGGCCTCGTGCTGGTACTCGGTGATCTTGCACAGCGCCTCCACGGCGGCCACCAGCCCGTGCAGGATGCTGCAGCACTCGGGGTCTGCCCGCGGGTTCGGCGGCCCCACGGCCGCCAGTGCCGCCATCAGCTGGGCGGGACAGAGAGCTGTTACCCCCAGAGGCACCTCCCAGCTTTTCTAACACTTCTGACTGCAGATTGACATTGGGAGAAGGGCAAATGGAACCACTAACGAACCTCACTGGCTGCCTTCTGGAAAACATTCGGCCCTAAATTAACCTTTGCAATTTAATTCATTCGTTGTGATTAAATATTCGCATTTATTACAGAAAAATACCTGACCAAAATAACTTATACCCAACACCCAAAAGACATTCTAATATTGCTCGTTGCCTTCCGCTTTTATTTTCTCAGAATTTGGAAATGCATTTCTTCCTCCAAGTAAATTTTTCAGAGGATGAAACACAGCCATAAATAGGATATTAACAATTAAAGGATTTAACACAAGTTATTTGCCTCTCATGCAAATATTTCAAAAAAGAATTTAAGTTCAAAAGGTAGCATTAAATTACCGAAGAAATATGTAACTAATTTATTCATAATGTTTATTTTAAATATTTAAGTCTCTACTTAAAGATACTGGATTCTTTTTAGATTTTGTCTATACAATAATCCAGGCTCACAGGCAGCTATTTGAAATTCTGTTATACAACAATTTCAGACTAGCTTGACCAACACTGTAATTAACCAGAGTTACTTCACATTGAACACAATGTTTATTTCACAATGAAATCTGAACTACAAAGCAAAAGAACAGTTACAAATGATACCTCCTGCAAGTTCTGATCTTCCTGAGTCCAAGAATTCAACACATGAGCCCCAGAATCACTTACAATGAAATTCACCTACAAGGATCAAAAAAGCACATTAAGGTAACAGCCATTAAATTGTTACTTTCCCAAATTTAAGCAAACATGAATTGCACTTCTTTTGTCTGGTTGTCTGGAGATAATGTGCAATGACAAGCCAAACTCAAAATAACAAACCCACAAAAATCACACACTCCTGCTATATTAAGTTTTCCCCTTAGTAATATGATTAACAACTTATATTTTTACACCAGAAAATAATTCTCTACACCAAATAAGATTTACAAAATATTAGTATTTTAAAAATTATATTTTCAGCAGGATAGGCACAAAATAAAGTAAATTCTAATACTGTAAACTGCACATGATTCTCCAAAGTCTGCCACAGTACATCATGCAGTAAATATCTACCGTGATTTAACAAACATCACTAAGAAAATATGGTTTTCTAAACAAGGAGCTGTGTGTGCCAGGAAGCTCTCCTCCCACTTTTCCAAACTGTTAGCTCCAGGGCAATCCTATTCTCTTCCTAAAGCCCAGAATTCCTTCAATGCTGACACCAAATCTATTACAGAGAGCCTACCATGTGTATTCAGCAAGAAAATTCAACTTAAGACAATTCCTCACTGAAGCTTTTGTAAAGTCATTGCTCAGGAGAGCACAATAATAAAGCTCGAAGCTGCCCTAAAGCACCTCTCCATGTTTTGCACCAGCTTGTAATATGACATAAAAACAATGAAAGATTCTAAAATTAAATATGTAATGAGATTTACATACTACTAAAACTAATAAAATAATGTATATAAACAGCAAAAACAAATTTTAAGTGATAAATTACAATTTGATATCTTACTCTAAACAACACAAAGATATTAAAATACTTAAATAAAAAATGAAAACATCCCAAATTGTATCAAGCATGATATGCAGCATGGCTGGCAGAACCTACCAGTTTCTTGAAAGGGAAAATATCATACATTATTCTACAGTATTCCATGGATGACTCCACTGAGCAGGTCCACAGGGACTTGGAGATGGGTGCCAGAGGAATGATGCCCTGGGTGCGGTTCTTCACTAACATATCGAATTCCACGTGCTGCCTGCATGATTCTGCCATGTAGGGGCAGTGATCCACAACGAAAACAGTTTTGTGAGACTCAGAAAATATTTTCATTTTCTTCCTGAAAGAAACAGACATCGAAAGCGGAAAGAAATTGCACACGGTGAAAAAAACCCAAACAAAACTCATCGTAAATTGACTCTGTAAATTACACATGCATCCTAGAAATACACAAGTTTTAGACTCCGTGTTTAGTAGACTACATTTCTTATCAGAAGACACTATTTTTTCTCAGGAGGAAAAATAGAGAAAAGTGGAATTATATTACTGAAAAGGCAACAAAAATGCACAGTATTAGTCTCTCCACTTCTCTAGTTAAAACCAACTTTAAAGAAGAAGTACACAAACTGCTTCCTATTTAAAGCTTATTTCCTAAAATAAGTAACACGCAAAAGAAAAAAAATTATTATTAAAGACCTATAAGTAACATAATCAGAATTTTAGTCTTGGCGTTGCCAAATACATCTTATTTTTAAACAAATAGTTGCATCTGTACTTCAACATCTCACTGACAAATATACCAAGTGTGGAATTATAAAAATCACAGAGCAGGCAAGGCTGGAAGGAACCTCCAGAGATGATCTGGGCAAACCCCCAGCCAAGGCAGGTGGCCTAGAGCGGGTAATGCCTTCCCAGGGTTTGGAATGTCTCCAGAGGGGGACTCCCTTCCCAGGCAGCTGCTCCTGGGCTCTGCCACCTTTTATGTACAGAAATCCTTCCTCAGGTTGAGGTGGAACTTCCTGTGTTTTCGTTTACGGCCACTGCTCCTCTCCTGTCGCTGGACACCACCCAAAACAGTTTCTAGCATAAGAATTTACTTTTCCGTGTGCTTCTGCTGAATTACAGAATACATAAGACAAAAAATACATATAAGCTCATTTAGAAAAACCTAAAATATCAAAGCAACGAGGATCACGGAAGTGAGACCGCGGCTTCCTCGGGGGGAGGCAGCGGGGCAGGTTTGGGCCCCGC